TTTTTCCAGTTGCCTCAGGGACTCTTTGGGCCACCACATAAAGTGGTCTTTCAGAGAAATAACCGTTCTCTTCATCCTGCTCCCTTTTACTGATGATAGGTTAAGTACCATACAGTGGATCTACCTTTATTATTGTGCTTACGTTGCTCCCAAGCGGGGAGATAAATACCACATCCTCAAAACTCGCACTGAATCTCCTAACATAGACACTTCTTCGAACATTCCGTCCGTTCGACTAGCGCCCGGCGGGCATGTTTTTAGGATTGTCGCGTCTAGGTCTGCCGCCAAGTCGCTCGCGTCCCTGATGTCCGCCGTTACGTCTCTTCTTTCCTGCATCGCTTGACTTCTTATATTACAGCCTGATGGACATGCGAAGGGCGACCTATTAGCGCTCTTTTGTGGCGCGTGTAAGTCAATACGATTACTGCAAACATTTTTGGGGGTTGTCGATCGCTGTTTTATTTCGGTGCAGACGGACTCTGTATGATCCAGGTTTGCCTAATTTAAGGAAGTGTGGAAACCAGTTCCACCTCCACCTGTCTTCTTTTATTTCCTTTCATTTCGATTGCGTCGGAAGATTTGTCTAACGACTTTGTTCGTTGCCTCTTGTTTCGCAGAAATTGGCGTCCATCTCCTCCTTTCGGTTCCTTGAGATTCCTGTGGTCCGACTCAATGACGTTTTTCATGTCTTTTGTATCGTGCTCAGGGGGTTTAATTTTGTTGTAGTTGAGGATTTATGCTATTACTTCGGTGAGGAGATCGACGTTTACTTCTAGTTTCGAAACTGTGGTGGGGAGTTCTCGGCACCCACCCCAGCGCATCGACCTTTCAGTATCTAACTTATTTGTCGTCGATTTCAGCAGTGCACTGCGTTCTTTAGGATTGGCGGTCGGTGGCCCATCAAGCCCAGTTCAGAGCGAGCTAACTATTTCCGGTAAATTTTTATCACAGGATGTAGAGAACGTTTTACAATTAGGTGATCGACCGTCTTTTTCTGAGTATATATTATTTTCTTGGACGTTTGGCTGTCCGAAGCTGACCGAGTGGTTAAGAGTGTCGGTTCTTGCCCGACTGCTCCGTGGTTCGGATCCCCGATGCCGCAGGTTCTTGTCACACATAGTAGGGTCATGAACATTTGTGTTCTCCATGCTAGCAAGATTTCTTTGTGATTGCATTAAGTTCTAAAGGGCGATTTAAATTGGTAAGGGACTACTTTAATGAGCACAAAGCAGAGCTTGTTTCCAAATGAAAATTATCATAAAATGTCAATTGGAAGTAAAGAACGACTTAGCCCTCGCAAACAGGTTGCCAGTAGTCTTCGCTTTCTCCTGGTTTTCGAGCACTTCGCCGACGGAAGATTGACTTCGCAAGCACGATGGAGTGGATATTCGTAGGAATCTGAAATAAACCGATCTAGATACTTCGTCAAGCCACGGATATAGGTTCTCTGAGAGCCCCAGTGAAGGATGAAGATATCGCTGATTATGTGGTCCATGAAAACGGAAGTTGATTTCACTTCTTAGACACTGGAAAACAGCGCCTATCTAATGTGGTGAAATCATCTTAAACGATATCCAGTCGTCCTCTGGATGTCTCCTGAGCAAACAGTCCTTATTTACGGCTATCACTTCATCCCTTATCATGACAAAATCTGCACTCCATGTGTTTCGTTGGCCTTTCGTTCTCCTCGTTGATCAAGATGGGACGAGTGATTCCAAATTAGCGCGGTAGGGCCACTGTCACCGAAAGGTCTTCTAGAATAAAAATCCTCAACATAATAGAAGTGCTTCATACAAGCTGTGTCCGACCAGTTGGCTGTCTGGTTCTCTCTAAGTCTCCTAGGTGTCTTTACATTCTATTCCAGAGGGAAGTCGAGTTTGACTTCTGTTTACTTACAGTAGGAGGATGTTGGTGTACCGTCAATAGCAAGATTTTCTCAGTCGACTGCAGGCGCTTTGAATTCTGCATCAATAAGAGCGTATTCGTGGCTAGTTAAAGCCTTGAGCAGATGGAGGAGTGGTTCGTCAGCTGCACTCGGAAACTTTGGTGAGCTCTAAACTAACAGAAATTCCAGGATTTGTAAATAAGTCCTATTTAACTTTATTCAGGCGGATTTATATTCAAAGGGGAGGGTGTCGGCTCGTTCAGCAACCGAAATCCCTGTCATTACATATTCGATTACCCCAACACATGGTCTATTTCGACGGTCTCAAGGGAAAATCTGACATTCATGTATTAAATCCGGGACCAACGATTTCGGCTTTCAGCCGCTTTGGGGTTTCATCCTCAAAACATCGACTTTTACTCGTTGAATTTCCAAAAGAAACTGTGAACCTTCATGTACAAAAACCATTAGCGTATGTCTTTCACTCACTGTTTGAATTAGGCAGATATCCATTTGGATGGTTGGCAGATATCCATTTGGATGGTTGCCAATTTCTGTCCGATATACAAGGGTGGACCTAGAACAAATGTCAACAGTTATCGGCCCATCAGCCTAAAATGCATTTATTGTAAAATAAGGGAAACGATAATTACAAAGGCGATAATGAAGTTCCTGGAGGAGAACATCGTAGTCTAAGACCTCCAGCACGGCTTCAAACAGAGGCACTTTGCCATCCCAGCTAATTGCTCTCGATCGAGCAGTGGAATCGCGCACTGGACGACGATGGGAGAGCTGACGTCATCAACAATGATGCTAAGAAGGCGTCCGATAGCGTTCCAAATAAACGCCTAGTCTACAAGCTATCTGAACTTGCGATAAGAGGAAAGCTGCCTTGCCGGCAAGCCCTATCCCCGTTCTAAATGGCGTCCGCCAGGACTCAGTCGTGGAGCCGTTGCTTTTCCTAGTCTACGTTAGCGACTGCGTCGATAACCGGCGTTGCAGCGTCATCATGTTTGCTGACGAAGTCGAACTGTGGAGCGTCGTCAGGTCTGAAGTAGAGAGAGAGTCCCAGCCGACTCAGCAGCCGGTCTGCTCGTTAATAAATGTGCGGTCCTAGGACCCCGTACCAGAAGAACCAATGAGGAGGACTATTCCCTCCAACATCTCATCGGTGAACAGCACCTTTCAACAGCTGAGGAACAGAACGACCTCGATGTTTCAGTGACCACCCCTTTCAAACTATCGTCATAGTGGCTTAAGACAGCTAATTGCACGACACTGGTGTTATTTGCACTGAGGCCATGATTTGTGCCGATTGATAAGGAGCTATTCGGAGAAACCTAGGGCAAACTCGTTCCGTCTCAATTTAAGTATGTCGCTAAGGCCTGTAGACCGTACTTTACGAAGGATTATCAGCAGCTTGAACGAGCGCAAGTAACGGCTCCGAAGCTGGCTAGGAAACTTGGTCCTAAGTCTAATGAAATAAAACTGGGTAACATAATCTTTTTCCTCTCAATTACAAGCAATTGAGCGGTGGCCTCATGTCATGCTGTCAGAGACCGTGAGTGTGTCCTAGACTTCGACGGTTTCATCGAATTGACCGGGACGGACCGTCTGCGCGGCCATCCATTTGAACCTTCGAGGAAGTTGGTCCACACGGACTTCCGACGGGACGTCCTGTCGCGGGGAGTCACCGGAGCATAACCCGGACTCCCTGACGCGGTGATCCCTTCAGAAACCGTTGAAACGTTTAAGCGCAAACTAAGTACTTTCTGCCGAAGAACCACCATGAATTTGGAAGCTGCCTGCATTTTGCAGGAAGCCATTCGTACCTGCGACATTTACTTCTCCAGAATTGCAGCTGTAAATATATATCTACGGCTTTTTTTCAGATTGGAATAGGGAGTTGAGGAGAAAAAGACTTGTTTATCTAATAAAGGAGTTATTTTGCAGCAGGCTTCTTAACAGTCCTTTAACTTACCATCGAAGGCTATATTTTAGATTTTTTAGGTTTTCGTTGTTTTTCCCACTGGCCGCCTGTTGTCGGCATATGAATACTACGGGCTTATCTCATCAGAACTGATGCATTTCGATTAAAAGAGACGGAGTCGTCACTCACGATTAGAAACGCAGTGGAGAGTTCAGGAGCCCTGCTTCCTTGGTCAATTCTGAGTAACTTCCGCCCTCGTCGGCTTGATTTTACTAATCTAAAAATCAGGCGGTTGAGCAAAATAATTCTGCGGTTCTAAATGCACTTGTCTGCCAGCTTAATTTTTGCATTTGTTTTTGTGTTTTCGAGGGCCGTAGAGATTTACGAGTATATTCCACAGTCCAACGTCTCATACTGTTCAAGGAGATTAAGCTCTGACCACCAGGTTGGCTGTTCGTCGAAGTACCCTTCCAGCCTTGGACCGATTCTTGTCGCGGACGATCGCAGCAATCTGATAAAGGATTTGGGCAATGCCGCCGTCGAGCATATTATTGCGATTCCATATTACTTATTTATCGATCGCTCTCTATCGTCTCACTTGAGAAACTCTGAGAAAGTCACCGGCGTTGCCGTTTTCGCCCCTGAAAGCCTGGATAATACAGAAGTTCAAAACGCAAACTTTTCAGAAAATTCTTTCTGTCCTAACGGGGCATTCAACTTTTACAAAAACCAAACGTTTGAGTGTGAAGTCACTCCGAAATGGAACCCGACAGCGTCTGATTATGCAACTATACATTGGCCATTTCCTGTCGTATTGATTTTAGACAAGGGAAATCACATTTGGGTAAGTGTTGAGTGTTATTTATTTTTAGAACAAAATTCTCGATTGTTACAAAAGATTCAACGTGAATTCTACGGATGACACTCGTTGTTCGATGGAGATAAGTAACTTTATGTCAGGCATCCAGTCTTCCCAGACATGCTATTACCGTGAGAATCTTCTCACTTATCGCTTAGAAGTAAGCGTCTGTCCTATAACCTTTTCAGCAACCAACTCAATTTTGCAGGCAGATTGGCGGTGTAAATTTTATGGTCCGTGCCATTGACAAGCCTTTGGTTGATACCACCCCGCGTCGTCTACCTAATTCAACGTTACTTATTTTGACACGGCTTGATTCACGCAGTATGTTTGACAGAAGAGCATCTTCAAGTCTCGGCGTCCTCCCTGGAGTTGCTGTGCTAACGTCGGTTGCTGCTCATTTGCTGAATACTCCTGCGTTTAAGGTAGATTTGCCTTCTTCCTGTGTTGCCTATGCATCCGCCCATAACAAAAGTCAAATTTCACCAAAAGGCAACCAAAGACACACGTTTCTATCCTAAACTTTCAAATACAGATGCTCCCCGATGTCAGAAAAAACTTGAAAGACGGCTACATGAACCGGGTCTGGTGCGTGCCGCCCTACTTTAGTGAATTGTCAAAAGCCGTCGCCCGTTGCCTAGATAACTTAAGTCGTAACTTGGTTGAGGATCTGACTCCAGAGGACTTCTTTTACATTAAATAGGCGGGGTATTATATTAATTACTTGGTTGGCCTGAGTTCGTTTGGCCTAGTCCACAATGGAAAAATTTGCGAGTGTTAACATGCATGGCTGAGCGCACCTGGTCAGTAAAGTAGATTTATTATCTCCCTCCTATCAGAGCGCAATAAAAAGCCAAAGCGCAAGTTCACCAACAATATCTTACTTCTCTACGAGAGGAGTGACAGTGGGCCGAGAAAGTTTTGAACACCAAAGACATGGGTCTGCCACCGACTTTGCTCCGTGTGTTCCAGCCACCAACCTACTAGGCTTTTAGTCGGAATGCCGGTGACCAGGCAGAAGAGCAGGTGTGAAGGACCACCACTTCCTTTGCAAGCGGTAACCATAGTATTGGTGTTGGCCGAGCGCTATTGGCACCGCTGCTTCAATCAGAGAGTCGTGGAGCCCCAAACGAAGTATAAGCTAGACACCAAAGTCATTGCCGAAGGCCGAAGCGCCAATGTAAGTACCCCGTTAATGAACTCATTTTCGTGTTTGAGACAAGCATATAAACATACGGCCCTTTAGTTTCACCTCTTTGCGTTTGAACTTTAAGACATAATTTTCATTGAGGCAGAAGCATTGTTGATTCTAGACTTTTGGAAAGTTCTCTTTTTTCTTTTGGAATGTTTTTTTTAATGAAAATCCCAGTGAATGAAGCCAGGCTGCAAGGTGTAGGTGTCATTTATCCCACAGGTGTTATCCCGTTTCTGACGTCAACACTGCGAAAGAAGGAGATAACACAACAGTGGCAGTTTCACCCAAAATATGCGTTCTTCGCCTTTGACAGCGACAGTTGCCAGTGTGGACGAGCATTTAATAGCATGCGTATTACGATTAAGCTGTTTAGGTCGCAAAAAGTAACTCGGTTATTTTAAAGCATGATATATTCATCAGATTTGATTTTTCCAGGTGCAATTTGAAGTTTTGGAATAGGTAGTAGTCTAACGGAGTAGGGCCAAGGTAGAGGAGGTTTATATAAGGCTTTCCCTAATTGATTACCAGACTCTTTCCAGTTGATTTGGATAGGAGGCTGTCTACCTTCACAGATAAGTTTACAAAAAATCGTCATAGTTTTTTATCGCTAGGCCACCTTAGACGATCCAAAACCTTTTGACGCGTTAGTAGATTGCCACTGAAAGGTACGTAAGTGTTTTAAATTTTTTTAGGTTAATTTCTGGTACAGTGAACTACTCATTCTTTCCACGGTGTATATTCATTTCATTTCCCTGCACCTTTACTATTTTGTCATTTATCTGCCTCTTGCCTTCTTTGAAGAAATACAGTTTGAAGAAGGATGTGCTCTTCGCGTTTTTGGACAACGAGGCGTATGACTTTATGGGTTCCCAGCGGCTGCTTTTTGATCTTACGAATGCGAGGATAGCCGCCCGCTCTGGTGCCCCTTTTACTATTGAAAGCATCGAAGCGGTCCTCGAAATTTCTGCCGTCGGTCTGGCAGACTCAGTGGCAAATGTTTCAACTTATTTTCTGATTTCGGATCCCGAGGTTGCCCAAGCGGTACGTGTCGATCTGTTAGTTTAATTACTTTTCGACTCTTCGCCATTATGCCTTTTTTGTTAACACGCTGGCCCCTTTTGATGATTGCCATTCTCCTATCCGGGGAGAATATTGCGCACCTCCATTCAAAAATCTTTCTTCTGGGCACTTTTTTTACCTGGCGTTCGAGTCTTTGGATGGCGAGAAATCTCTTCTGTATGTTCGTCTCACTTCCCGATATGCATCTCAAGCAGACGAAGGTCTAGGTCAAAAACGTTGCCATATCGCTCAATTGTCGTACTACATGGTGATGGGTATGGCGTATTCTACCTGAATTGTTGTAACGAACTACAGAACTATTTAACTCATCGATGCCGTTACTATTTAGCCAAACGCTCCCCGCATGACTACTTACCCTGCTCGGGCAGTCTTAACACTTAGTAGTGCGAGGGGCAGGGTGATCATTGCGCTTATTGATGGACTACATAACGGTGAATCTTGTTTACAGGAGGTATTTCCTTGAAATTCCGAATCATTTTGCACCTTTTTCACGAATCATAGAATAAAAAAATCACACCGGCCAATAGACCACAGTCGCTGCCCAATTCGCAACTTTTTACCACATGGTGACGCCGTAGCACTTCTTTCCAGGGAAAACGGTTATCCCGTGCTATTTTACACCAAACATGTCCTTTCTGGAGACTATTATAAATGGAAGAAGAAGGCAAGGCGATCAATGCGAAGATTTAGCCACCTGACGTTTCGTACTCGTGCTCAAGCACATCATCGGCGATTGACAAAATGAGAACTACATGGTTTAAATAGGTAATTCGTGCTCGCACCTAACAGGTCAGTCCCGCTCTATTCTTATTGGCTCTCCTATCGCGCGCATGTGGTGCCTGACGGCCTCGTTTGACGATGGTAGGTCAATACTGCGGTTAATCTAGTTGGTGTCTGATTGCCAGGCTTCGATTACTCCTCTCGTCAGTTTGCTTTCGACTCGGCCGAGCACTTGGGCACCGTCAAAGTCGAACATGCGATTATTCTCTTGACTGCGTGGCGACGTGCGATCGTGTATCCTTTCGCTTTACAGCTAAAGCGTGCTTGTGCATGCGCGTTCGCGGTTGTTCGTCGATCATGCCGCAGTAGTTGGCCAGACATTCTAGACATTTGGCACGAGATGTTTGGTCACTGAGTCTAACGCTCCACCACTGAGCAATGGACCCGTTGTCCTGTCGGTTGCGATCGCGAATATCAGCAGTGATAGGGTAGTGCTCACCGATCAGATTACGGGCTGTTCTCGTCCCCTTGTGCCTTGGGGCTCGGTCTTGTTCGTTCTTCGCAAAGGCCTGCTTTCGGCGTCCAAAGAGAGGTCTAATCACTGTGTTCAGGCAGTGGAACATACAAGATAAAATCAGTCAAGTACTGGTTCATGCAATGTAAGACAGCTTTACCTTAAGCGTGATGTGGTCATCTAGCGTGATGTAAGACGCCGGCGGAACGCATGGCTTCGATCAAGTTCTTGTGAGGATTCAGACAGCTAAAAATGCATGTAAATATGGATCGGCGAGGAACTACGACTTAGGATCTCAGGAATCTCGTCGCCTCCTAATAGCTGTCTTTCACCGCCGAGCCGCAGTGACGCCAACGAAGCCCATCTCCGACACTTAATCAAAAACAACTGGTTTTTACACACGTATGTTTCCTTAAGTCCCCCACAGAAAGTAATGAACTACAGCGGGCGTTGTCACGGGAGTTTGTTACTGGCGGAGCCATCCGCCTGAATAATAGTGCCCGATCTGCTGATCATCGGAGCTGTTCGGACTTCAACTGTATGCGCCTTGTTGCTCCGAATTCTACACAACATAATCATAATGATTTCTGGAGAGAATCTCTTCGGAGCTTCAAGCATTATTCACCAATTTTTGATGCTGGGAGGTTATACAGCCTTTTCAACATTCAACCGCTCTATCAACCTCCCCCCCCCTCCAATCTACCGACCAGCCTTCATAAAAAGGTGCGGATGGAGTAACTGTTATAAGACACTATGTCCCGGTGGAAGAAGTGTTTTGCGCAACTTAGCCATGTTGACCGAATCCTCTCAGCTGCTGTTTTGTCTGGTTACGCCTCGTGCACGCGTATAGTCGTGGCCGTCTACTGGGGAGATTATTAATAGAATAGCAACCAAACATCTAAAAAGTACTCCTTACATAACAAATCTAAAAATACTGTTTTACTGCGCTATCGTGTAGACTGCAAAGGCTTCTAGCACAAACATATGACTTAGATCCCTGCTTACAGCCCGGATGTCCCCTGTGTTTACGTCGACCTCCAAGCAAATCTCCAGACCGTTCTCACAGTTATCGTGGCATTAGCATTATCAACTTTGGAGCTTGCTTTAGTTGATTGTTTCATTATACACAGGCTGGCTGGCAGAGTACTCAAATATCTACACTTCTACCAGCAGCATGGCTTCGTAGAATGCGTTGATCATGTCGCCGTATTTGACCCAATTCCACAGAGCCTCCCTATCGTCGATTATGCTGTGCTCCGTTGCATCGTTTTCTGCTGTGCCGTACTTTATCAAGTCTCGATATAGGTTGCCATGTCATTGGGGGCCTTTGCTGCCACAGATGCTCACATTAAGTACCTTTACGCACCGTTTTGGGTGGGTCTATTAATCAGCGTCGCTGCCGCACATTAAAATAAAACGCACCCAGATCATCACTGCTGTAGCCACCTCCGCAACAGAGAGGGTTATTGTAACGCCTCAGCTACGTTATTGCAATTGGAGAAAGGTGGGAACCGATCATCGGAACAAGTTTCTGTTATTGAATTATCGCTATCGTCGACCGTAAAATTACGACTTTCATTTGGAAGTAAACTGCCTAATCCGCAGAACCGAATGTTTGTTTCTCTGGCTCCCGAAAGTTTTACAGGAGTCTGTCGTCAGAGGTGCCAACAGCAATGAAAGGACGATATCAATGGCATATCGTGGCCAATCAGTGATCGTCGTGCTTTTGGAGGTGATTGCGTGGGGCTCTGTAGACGGACGCAATCAGCCCTCTAAGCTCAGATTGTCCCACAGCTTACGTTTTTCTCGAACGGACCAATTTTCAGCTACAATATTGAATATGTGGATCACCGGAAGGATATGGGTAACAATTGGGGATATTCGATTTCCCCATAACATGGTTTGTTTATCTACCTTCATGCGTGATTCCAGCATTGGTCCGATCTAATATGTAAAATTGCATTGTCGGTTCGGTCACGGACATAATACAGTGAACCAGATAGATCGGCAGGGTTTGGTTCGTCTTTGCCTCTAATGAAGCAGCTGCTTATGCTGGTTTCTACCATTACGTACTCCCTCTGCGATGCATTCAGTCGCCTCCGAAGCATTTGTGATATGCGGCCCAGAATCCATTATCTACAGCAAATTCTATGGTTGAGTTAGCCTTGGGTAATCATAAAGGCACCTGGTTATATAGGTTTTTTGATGGACTTGCGCCATAAACTGATCGTGAGGATACTGATTCCGTAATTTTTGTTTTTTGGGTTGCTGCAGCTGGCCTAAATCTATCTTAAGAGCGTTTTCACACAACTGAGTGCGACTGGGTGTCTATTGGGGTTACAAGATGCCATACTGACAGCACCGATACCCGGTAAAAGCCCAGACACGTGTCTCACCGATATTCTGCTGTTGCATGGCACAGCTGCGAGGTTTCCGGCCCATCATTGGGTCTCCCTGCATTCCTCGTGTACTTTCTGGTAGATACTCCAGTTTATAAATTGTTGCTTTTTAATTTCCTCAGAAAGTAACCGCTAACTTGAAGTAAATCAGTTCTAACTAAGGTTTGTTGAGTTGGGAAATTTTTGTTGGGTACTTTACTGAACATCGTTGTTTGGATCTTCATATTATGATTCCGTCTGACAAACATCGAGCAAGAGTAACTGCTGTTCCATTTGTCCTCTGTTGACCTGCCTTGTGCTACGTGTAGGTGTGCGGCAGTTAAATTGTTTGTTATTGGCCTAGCAGCGCTCAAAAAATCCATGCTCGCGAAAGCTAATACTGTGTAGATTCTTTATCAGCAGTCCCGCTATCAAACCAAAGTTTTCGGAGCCCATCGGAGTCCCCTTGGCCTGCTCTCACGTTTCTTCACCCGCATTGAAACAATGCTTCTGGCAAGATGCGATCAGTCGTATGAAACTGTTCATCCCTTGTGACGTCTGCGTATCGGCGTATTCTGCCTCCAGGTGTTTTCGCAGGATTTTATTTGAGAAGGCAGTTAGGATTGACGCAGGTGACATCACATCGAAAGAAACCATTGTACTATCCGACTGAATTCATAGGCCTCAGAGGTTAAGGGGTCCTAAAGCTGACCAGAGTGAAGCGGTGGAAGTCTCCTGAATAAAATTTAATTAGAGTGCATGTATGATTACCTTTACGGACAGCAGCGAAACATCTGCCTTGTGTGTCTTTGGTAGACTACCAACCTTGCTGCCCGAATTACATTCGGGCGGCCGCGCTGTCATTATTTTATCGCGAGTTATATGGTAGAAAACATTCGGGGAATATATATTCTGGAAGCCTAACTCGTGCTTTGCCCCTTCCTGTTGGGAGCCACCATCGCCGTCAAGTTTTTCCTCACAATGCTAATGCCCGCAAGACTTCATAGGATTTACTCCAAAACAGTTGACTTAATTTTTGGATCTTAATCAACCCTGCTCAGCTGGAAAATACCCTGTCAGCATAGTCCGCCGGTGGCTTTGCTTCACAGGGCGTTCTTCCCACTATGAATTTTCGTTATTAGTAGGATTGCCAGTCAGCCTTCGTTGCGTTTTCAGCTGCCTACTACTTATATTGACTGTAGAATTCTGACTTGTGATAGCTTTTTTCCATTCTTAATCGCATCCTTATGTTGGACTTACTTCTTTTGTAAGTGTTGTGTGGGCGTTTTTGACTTTTCTTTTATCGAAAAGGTTTCCTTAGAGCTAACCTGAAACTCTAAGGCAGCGCTCGCTGTTTGCCCGTCCGTATGCGTGGCCACTCAGGAAGCTCATTAATTTACCTGAAGGTCAGCCTAAGCTAACCGAGAATTTGCACCTTGACAATTTGTCGGCAGTTTTTGAGCAACGCCTTTTTATGACTATGGCTTTTGCCACCACAAGTGTTTTCGATTGCCTTTGTATTCTGAAAATAAGATGTGCACAAAGACAATTTATTTGTCTGTTTGTGTACGGTCGTCCTCGAGAGTTGCCCATCATTGCGACGGCCTGGATTATCATGCACTTGGTTGGCTTCCGGCAGTCCTTTCGACCAGCTCCTCAACATCGCTGAATTGGACAAAAGCCCTTTCGATACCTACACTTGCCCAGGCCGGCCTTTTTTAACGACCGTCCGTCTACATGCCCTAATTCTAATCTTTCACATTACGCAGTCAATTACGAGTCCCCGTTGGGGTAATAAGACAAACATATGACAGAAATGCGAGTTTTATCGATGTCTTCTGCAGATTACGTTAATTGCCGCGCCCATCTGCCCTACTAATAAACGTAGTATTAACCACCTTCCTGTATTACAGGAGTCCATAGGCTCTATTTTCCCACTGGGCTCATATATCCCATCCTCGCCCTATTCTGCATCCAGGGCGTCGGATATCCCATCCGAATCTCAACGCAACCCAAGTAACCTATTTCGTCTGTTTACCTAATTGTGGGGTGGGAAGAAGCCAAGGCTTGCATCACTCGCCCGCGTAGTTTTCTTGACAGTAAACCAGACCCTAACCTTAAGTTCCTACTAGAGAAAAATGCTTCCACATTTTCTGCGAAAAATGTTCCCACTCTATCCTGATCAAAATACAAACTGCAAAAAGTTTAGGAAGAATAAATAACAGCTAAAAAAAGTATGTGACTGTCAAAGTAACAAACCGGATGTATATTTTGGCCTCACTACATGTTAAAATTGTGCTAGAGGTGGAATAACCAGCTGTTAATAAGCCATCACACAACAAGAAAGGTGACGAAAACCGCAGCAGATTGGATGAGACGACTTTGCAACATTTAGAACAAAATAAGGGGTTTACCAACATCTTCAAGAGATAGATAAGTGAAATACCCGTTCTCGTAACGTTCGACTTCCCTGCTGAAAGGGCAGTCAGAAGTCCTAATGTGCTGATAAGTAGCTAACCGATATCACCTGCAGTTAGTGCCTGTGGCGGCATCGGCGGTCCATTGGTCCAATGAGACATGCAACTTGCAAAGAAACTAATTAAACGCTCGAGCTAGTGTAATTTGGGAGCATTTTTGGCCAGTTTTATCGATGTTTACTTAGTTTCTGATTTGGATGTAGCGTTTGATTTTGGTTTTAAATATTCATTTACATGTTAATGCTCTTGTTGATAACTTAATTTACGCCTCATAAGAGCGCGTTTGCTCAGCCACATCCGGAATTTTTTTTGTCCAAACGGTCTCAGTTTGCTCTTCAAGATTGCCCTTGACCAAAGAAACACGAGATCCAAAAAATACGACTGTTTGGAAAATTTTTCGTCAGTTATGATTCAAAATCTAGTCTTGAGTGCTCTCTTGCACCCATCTTTCATTGTCCCCTTCTGCTTTCAGACAGTAAAAGTTACATCAGCCATCTGGCAGGCCCTGAATAAATCTGCTACAGTCTTCCCGGGCGTCAATTTCGTAAATCTAACGGAAGTTAAACCTGGCCTTCCACTTCCACCGACGGTTTCTGTGCACGCCTTTCTAAGCCACTACAAGAGTCTGGGTCGGCAACTTAGTCACACAGTCATTTTCGATCGCGGTGGCCCCCCATACGCCGACCCCCGCATGGACTCCTTTCTGGATGTGACTTGGCCCCCCAAGTCACTGCCTCAGGCCGACGCAGTCCTCCTCAATCTGGCTAACGTCGTGGCCAATGCAATCTACTCTGTAAGCCTTGTGGCCTCAAGCACTAAGTTCTGTCACGGCACTTTTTTTCCACTTTTACCGCGAATGTCCGCCCACTGACCGCTTTCGGTACTTTCTGTCACATCGCAGTCGTTTGAAAACACTTTGCCTTGCTGTAAATTCAAAGTACAGTAGTCTGACCTGATAGTTTGTCCGTCGCAGCCGACGAGTACCACCACTGCCTCGTGAACGTAGTGATCACTTGGATATTAAATACAATCAGAAAGGCCTGTGCAGCATCGGTCCCACCTCCCCACACACCCACCCTGTCCCAAGATGGAAACAATCAGAGGCCGAATCCACGTGTACGCGTGCCACAACAGGGGCCACACACTAGTCTGCCTGAATTCTTTGGATAAACAATCACCGACGTTTGATCACGAACAAGGAACTTGATCGAAAAGTAACCGGACAGAAAGCATACGGGCCGCAGAAGATCTGTCATAGTAGATTTTTCTGGAATTATACTATGACGCTGGACCGGCTGTACCTCCAACCGAAACCTGTGATACGTACGATCAACATGTTTACAAGGTAATTTCAATCCAGGTGCCACCAACGGCGTTAGGTTGTAGATTCCCATTGATGACTCGCCACCATTAAGTCTTTGTCGGGATTCATAAGTTGTTCATGTGCTGAGCAAGCTCTAATACTACATTATAGTGGTCAACCCTTGGCTGGGACTCGAGCTAGCTGACGAAGGCACGAACAAGTCTAAGGCAGCTTTTCTCTTACTCTTTTTCCGTGGTCAGTCTCTTCTGGATGGATACACGCGCCCCTAAACTCAAGCGCGAATTTCAGAAGCCTGCATTTGCAAATCATTCCTACCGTGTCGCACATAGCTACTTTATGAATACCGTAATTGTCAGGAGTCCATAGATTCCACGGTAGTCCATGGTGCACGGCAAAGTGCGGAGTTGGTCTGCCCACCCGCAGCTGGATTTGAAGTGAACCTCCCCTCTTGCGCCAATCTTAAAAACTGTCCAATTAGGATGATAGGTGCTGCAAAAAGCGGGTTGAAATCTCGATGCAGCCAAGCTCTTGGCCGAGCATAATCATCATCCCTTGTTATAGGTAGATTCTTCGATAGTTCAGTCTTGCACTGAACTGTGTAGCATTGCTACAGCAACGACGGGTAAAGCTAACAGGAAAATAAACGGTCTCATTTAAAACAGGACTTAACTTCATATCATACGTTTGCTACCCCCTCCAACCTTAGACGCCAAATAGTCTGCCCAGTTGCTTTGATTAAAAGCTCTATGGCTCCACCTAAGCGTATCACCTTGACCCTGCGTCTCTCCACAGGAAACGGTCACTACCGGCGATCCGATGCCTCCGATTCAGTCTGTCACGCCCGGTGAACTCATGGATTGTTTCGTGAAAAACCCCGGATGTGACCTTCTTCGAATGGTAGGTTTTAGGACTGTGTTAACTTGATTTCTCTAGCCGATGGAGAAGGCAGTAAGCAGTGATCGTCACTAAAAACATCAGTCTATGGGGCAATTGTGAAAACTGTTGGATATACCCATTGACAACGCAGCGGTTGCATTAGCGGAAAGGCCCTAAAGTTGTCTACTCAGACGGCCCGAGCCAGGCCCCATAGTGATGATTCTTTCCGCGAACTCCGAAAGATGACGTGGATGGAGGTTTTATTGCTGACAACTCGGTCAAAATCGAGCGCTGGCGCAAACACTTCGAGCACCATCACAACCTCAACGCTCAACTCACCACTCCCTTGCTCTCCTCTGAATCGGAATTTCCTACCTCTCCAACCTGTGCAGTTTTTATGCGCCCCCTTCTGAAGAAGTCGCCGATGTCATACAAAGGCTACCCAACAACAAGGCACCCGGAGAGGACGGTGTACCCGCTGAAATCTACGAGTCTTGTGTCGACACTGGTACCCTGGCTCCATGAGGTGATTGAACAAGCGTGGGGAGTCAAGGTTGCACCTGATCACTGGGGCTCAGGCATCCTTGTACCTACCCTCAAGGAGATAACAGAAGGTGCGAGAACTACCGCTGCATAAGTCTCATCAACGTTGCTGCGAAGATCTTCGCTATTGTCTTCCTCTGGCGATTCCAAGCTGTGCGTGACTCTAGGGCAGGGCCAAACCAAGCCGGATTTCGTGCTGGACATGGATGTTCGGACCAGATATTCACACTAGGTCGCATTCGCGAATTCCGCCATGACTCCCGGCAACCGACGGCCGTCCGCTTTGTTGGCTGCCAACGCGTTAGACTCCGTCTATCACGAGTCCCTGTGACAGGTAATGGCACTAAATGGCGTACCGCCAAAAATCATCTCCATAATCAAGGCCTTTTATCGCTCCACCACTGCGAGAGTTCTGGTCCACAGCAATCTTTTCCAACCTTTTGGTATTCGGTCCGGCGTTCGACAAGGTTGCATCTTGTCGCCCATCCTGCTCAACTACGCTATTGACTGGATTCGCAGGAGGGCCCTACACGGTGACGGTGTTCAATTTGCATCCAGACACCGACTGACTGCTCCCGACTATGCAGATGATATTGTCTTACTTGCCTCAAGTTTCGGTGATCTGAGGTCTATGGCGTCATGGGCGAATACGGTCGCTAAATCGGTCGGTTTACTCATAAACGCTGGGAAGACTACAGTGTTTTCAAGCTGCATCTCTGACTAAAAGATGGCACCTCTCGGAATTGATGGCTGTCAACTTGAAGAATTAAATACCTCAGGAGGCTGCTGCCGAATGGGCGGGATAACTCCGATAGTCTTTCAAATTGATGCTACCCGCCGGGTTTTCTCAAGCCCTCGAAAATGCCCATAGATCCGACGCGATATCTCCATCGCAACTAAGATTCGCGTGTACCATGCATCTGCCCTTCACATGATTGTAAATCCTGGGCTGTGAGCGTGGAGGACGAGCGAAAACTGGAGGTTTGACCACTCCTTGAGGACCATCCTCCGAGTGAAGTACACGGACTTCGTCTCAAATGAGGCAGTCCGCACTTTCTGCGACATTGCAAAGATATCTCAGGCCATCAAAGAAAGACGACTGAGGTGGTTTTGACATGTTCTTCGTCGTTCACCTCCGGAGCTCAGTGTTACTGTCTTCGATCCGGCACCGTTACACCCCATTGGATGTGTCTAAGAGGGGGTCAACTCAAAACCTGGCTCGACAGTCCGTCAAGATATGGAAGTGGTTCTTGGACCTTCGGCATTCGGTATCCGTTCTTGGCGAAGTGAATGGATCGAACTGTCAAGATCTGCCGCCGGGAACCGTCACGCGTGGGGAGGTACAGTTCGGGAAATCATCGATGCCGGCTAGATCAGGCAGGATTGCAGCCGTACCAAGTACAAGTAACGTCTAAAACCCGTGGCATTTATCCGTGTCCTTATCGCAGTAAAATCGTAGGCCCGGTTCTAGCCACTATTGCCCGAAGGCGTAGAGGATACGATTGGTCGGATTCCCCGTCACTGCGTTAAACGAATAACGCTGGTGGGGAAGCCTCCGTTGTGAATGCAAATACACCGTCCGTCAACCAAATGTGGGCAACCGAGATGCCACATTTCTTTAAAATGTCCTTTCTGGTTGCTGCCATTTCTTGGCAGTATCCCGCGCGTTGATTAAAATCAACCTAGGTCATTTTCGAACATTCGACATAATTTGCTTTCTGAACATTTCCCCAGCTTACCGATACGGTTCCTGATTTTAGCTAAACTTTTCGCCTTGTAACTTTAGCACCTAGAGCCCGACGTTGTAGACTTTCTGCTGAGTCTGTCAGGACCTATTCCGACGCAGGGCTATGGTCCCATAGACGGCCGAGAATGGCGTGTATCCCACGTGGTCGCACGCCTCCTAATGGGGCTGACTGGCGAACGCCTCAAAGAATGTCCATCTGCCGATCAGTATGGCGTCTACACCTACATGTATGGTTGTAAGTATATTTTACACTCCCTATCCAAAACTGTCGCTGTGCCTTTTTCTCCAGCCCACTGCCCAAATTCAAATCCTACTTTGCTTCTAAGACTTCAACGGAACCCAGTGGTGCTACCGCAGCCTGATTGACACTTCGACTTCCTTCTTCTTCCTCGACGGAGACCGCGTTGCTGCACCTGGCTGGGTCCGTAGTAGCGTATACGGTAACAAAAGGTACGTCCGTATGTACCGAAGCGCCTCCGATAGCCTGGACAATTGGACAATCGCACTTGGTGTTATCTTGACCCTGTGTGCCGCAGTGGCCGGCATCGTGGCGCAGGTTTACAACAGGGCGCTTTTCCCGCGCCAACACGACTCTGACCATCAGATTCTAACGTCCGGCTTCGAAAGCCCACCCATTTAGTCATCCTGACTAACTGTTTTAGGCAAACTCCCATTCCTTTCTTTTAGACAACAGCACATGCGACGTATTTTAACTTGCTTTATTTGAAGAATTACATTTTGTATTCTGGTCTTTACCGTTGGTCAGGCTTTGGCAGCCGCTTTTTCCTGCAGTTTTTCTGATTTTTCTTTCGCCTTCTTGACGACGCTCACAAGACGCCCATTTTCGGCAAGAACTTTCAGCAGTTCCACGATGAAGGGTAGGTAGTTATGGCGACGCCTCATATTCTCCGTACGCTGGGTAGCCGCTTTGTCCTTCTCGACGGCGATGTTTTGTTTGAGTTGTTTAATAAGCTCACTGTCCGGCTGAAAAAAGCCAACTCTATATTAATGAGGGAGATCGCTATCCTTCTTATTCTTTTTCGTGCCGCTATCTATTTCACAGGTCAGGCTATTATCGTAGCTCTGGTCTGCGGTTCATTTTGCAGCACAATATCTGCTACTATCGCCATCCACATCTAAACAGTGATCTAGCCGTGACTGCGGTCACCTCTTCCGCCTGCGTTTATAGATGATATTGTCCAAGCTACCTCGGGCGATTTACTTTGAAATCTACAGTCCGAATTTAAGAGTAAGGTATCAATGATAAGATCACGATTAATGCTCAAAAGACATCTACCTATTGGAGTAGTTAAATATGGATAACTACATCCGGATGCCCTTAAAACGTGGATGATCATGTTTGGCAATTGATAGGCAAGACTGGTAGGACTTTAGACGTATTTCAACCGTTCCTACCACCAAGAATGGGCTTAAAACTAAAAACTCACCGCGGACGACTTCATCAATTCCTCCAACTGAGTTTCGTACAAGTTGAGGCGACTTGGAACAATGGCCATGAGGTTAAAGCGTCCATCAACACAGGCCTGCACCCGATTAAGCAGCACGGGCTTGATGACGTCGATCCAGGATGACCCTGTGGGAACAGGGCCGTGTTCCAACGGCACTCCCTTCAGCCCATCAAGCTCATAAACGATGCCATCGATGGGAACATAACCAACAAAATGATAGGCATCTTCTTCTCTGGAATGCCTGCTGCTGTTAAGCTCAAACGTTTGGGGACTGGACAAACAACATGGTAAGAATGATCACCTTACTAGCTAAAACTGTTGTGCACAGAACGTATTTTGTCGCAATTTGTTAGAGCGTTGCCTTTCATCTGCAGGAATTATGCATAAAAAGAACCGACCTTGCTGTCGAAGTCCAACACAAAGGATTTAAAGTCGGAGAGAGTCTCCCCGATCTTTACATTTGAAGATGGGAGGTTTAATAAAACATTTATGATGGCTTGAGTGGCGCAGGCGTTTCTTATCACCTTGAAAATGATTCAAAAAGGCGGCAAACTTGTTCTGCAAAAAATATTGACTTCAACCGGTCGTCTGTAACCAATTTTCCGGGATTATTTTCTTCTCTCTCCCACTTGAACAGAAAAATAAGCCCCAGTGCGTCGGAAATATCGCTTGTGTCATGTAAATCGTATACTTCTTCACAAACCAAACCCTCGACTCCTGTTTATAAATCCGAAAGAAACGAAGATGTTACCAAATCCTTTCATTAGTTCAGTAAACACTCCTGGATCACTTTCGATCAAGCACCAGTTTCCTGAGTCGGCCATCTGCAGTCTAAGATTAAAAAGCACTATTTATATGAATGTTAGGGTAAGCGTACACGAACAGGGGGCCAGACGGGGTTGTGCAGTAAGCAAAAGATTGGGATGGAAAATGCAAAGCAGCTAGATAAATGCCATCGTGGCTGACAGTTGAGTAAGTGTCGCTGGCGAATAAGTGTGGCTGGGGTGGTCCTTTCAGGACGGTTTGCCATACTCCAAGCCACTAAATCGGTCACTTGAGCCACGGGAGCACGCTCTGTTGGCTGCGATAGGGAATTACGTGGCAGTAAAGTTTATCGGCCTAATAACGAGACTGGGTTTGGGCGCTCCGTTTTGTTTTGCAACACACATCTTAAAGCAACCATAGGTGGCCGCATTACGAAGAGGAACCACCAGTCGAGAAGTATAATTAACGATGGACGAGACCAGGGTGACAGTCTCCGGCTTGTTTGGGGCCGACTAGCCAGCTATACAGCGCAAAGAAACCGTAGACTGCCTGGCACTGTAAGTGTGCGCTCGATAAGCTTGTAAATATTCAAATGTCTTCAGAGTGTGAGCTAGGTGGGAACCGAAACGAGGTGACGCGAGTAGAGACGAGGCGGAAAACATTAGAATACGACAGACTGTACATAACAACTGCGGAGGAAACGCGAAAGAAATCGGCAAAATACAAGAGCCATAGATATAAACTTGCGCCCGAAAACCACCACCGCAGAGACAAGGTTATTTTTTCTGAGTGCATGGACATATGAAGTCAAGACTGACTGACGTCAAGGAAACTAGTATCGTCGAACCGCGATTACCAAGAGCTCACTATGATATCGCCCTATTTCGCGGTGGGACCCACGCCGGATCGAGTCCTTTTTCAATTCAACTTTTCAGTAAATCGCAGACATGGCTATTTCACAGATTTCCGTGGTCCATTGTGACGGAAGCTTTAAGAAATTCAAGAGACAACTTGGACACTTCCATTACCAAGCTACCCCTTAAGGACCTTCAGAAGTCATTCGCCATGCGGGACGTCAGACCTTGCGAGATCCATTTCGTCAGGTAGCCAAAGAACCACCCTATCAAAAGCCCAAGGAAATGTCGTGCACAAAATATTCGGGAAATGCTACTACGATCCGTATTACGGCGTCCGCAGGAGCTGACATTCTACAACGCTTTTTCAGTGGTGCTACTCGATCAGGAACGGGGCATCGATGTCGGATGTTGGAACGTGCAGGTTATATTTGAATTGGTAGTCTGGCAACATAGTCTTTAGTACTGTCTTGATGTCTGCTGCCTGGGCTAAGTCCGAATCCCAGAGCCAGTCTCCAAGAAACTATGATCATAAGGGCGAGGTCCCCTCTCCGACTACAGCACTCCCTATGACTTCTAGCAGACATGGTGTTTGCCACCCGTAAGTCCTTCCAGCACCGTTGCCAACTCCTGCTGATCTAGTACTCTGGTGATGGTTGTGCTGTCAAATGGATTGACTGCATTCTGGGTCCACGATGACATTGAAGTTTGGTGCCGAAAGTGACAAAACCTATGGGTCCAATCATGTTTCAGCCTACACAATCCCGGAGTTCCACATCGCAAACACGCCCGAAATGCCTCGTGCGTGGCGCCTTGATGTAACATTATGACAATCAAACAAAATATAGGTTTTGAAAGGAGGAATCCAGTCAAGCTCGGCATCCTGAATTGACGAGGGAAGAAGTAAGAGGTCTGTGTTTAAATCTCTAATTTGCGAGGCAGCTAAGACTTGGATAACTGATTCGGTGCAATAACCGCGCACTTGTCCACCCAGGCCGTCAGGCTCCATAATGACGATTACTTTTGCGAACTTACTTGTACTGAGTACAGCTGTGATCACGCTTGATCCATTCAGCCTTGATGATGCGGCAAATTGGGCCTCTCCACGCGGTACGAACTACGGCAGCAAATCTGTTGAGCTCGACCCATGCTCTCCTCCAGGGAAGCAGATCGAACACAGACGATAAATAACCTAATTCCGAGTTTTGACGAACCGCATCAAACAAGGTTTTGGCCTGAAGTTTTCGACGCTTAAGAGCAGGCAACGTCGACAGATCGAGGTGAGCAACACTAAGTTCATGAAGCGGACGACGAAAAACAAGTACAAACTACCTCAATCGTCATTGGGTGGCCTGGGACAAACCCGCGATGGTGTAGCAGTGGGTACAGACTGTTTCCTTTGAGGTAAAGTTGTGGACTGCGTTTAAAGGGAGGTCCCCAGTCAGTTATCAAAAACCTCCAATTTTCGCCAATCTTCCAAGCGATCGACCCAGCATTCGAAACCGTATAGGACTGATCGGATAGGTGCCCAGTGCACGCGAATCTCTCCCGGTTATAGATATACATTAAAAACAGCAGTTTGAGGCCGGACAGTAACAATGAGCGAGACGGACTTCTCCTGAACAACAGAAATTCGGTTAGTTATATATCAGGACCACAGTGAAAACAGGCCACCCAGGATTCAAAGCCCTTCCTGACAGCTGGGTAAGTAGTTTAGGACCTGTCGGGCGTGCCTGCTGACGAACGACATCTCATGATACTGTTGGTTGTTATTTAAAAACCGGTACTGGGGCGTCCGCGAAAGATCCTCCCTAAAGTTGCGATTTTAATCGATCATATATGCAGATTTTTAGGCTAGCATCGAGTTTTCACATAACTCATTATAAAAGGGGGAGTAGGGCACTCAGCGCATAAAAACTTTTTATAATTTAGTTAAAGCCGACTTCACTAATAATGGCACGATTTATGATACCGGTTCGTACCGGTATCAGAAATGTTACGGTATTTCTAGGCGTGCGCTCGTATACAGTTGGGATTACTCCCAATTACCAAACGGTATACGAGCGCACGCCTAGAAATCCCGTGACATTTGGGCATACAATGCACAAGTGTGACGGAGCAAAAAAGGCTTTCTTCCACTCAACCAGATATGCAACAATCCAACGAGGCGTGTGTATTCAAATGAGTGGGGGAGAGTAAGACCGGCACCATTAAAACGCGCGCCACATTTCCTGGGTGGTTTAAAGTACTAGAAAATGAGTCGTGGTACTCCGCGAGAGCTATGAGAAGACAGGCATCGAGTCAGCAAAAATGAGACGTCTGGCATCCGTCCGGTAAATTTTTGATAGAACAATTTGCGACATTGTGGGTTTAAGCCGTCGTTAAGGCGCTCTGAAAGTTAGTTCTACCAATGTGTTCGCTTGTCCTGAGTGTTTCCATTCCAGTAAAATGACTGCACACAAACATCAGCTCCGGCTTTTAGAGTTCAAATATCTGGCGGGATTTGTCTTGACGACTATTGCTATCTTCCTCCTTGTCCTTTCTTTGTTTTCATTTGCCTTTTTTGCCTCCTACCTGGCACTAGCTCATTCTTTTCCGTATTTGTAAGAGCTTTAATTCTATATAGCTCTTCACCTGATTACATTGTCCCTGATCCACGTGAGCCCAGTCATTTTGTAGCATCATTACAAGCGGCGATCGCTCAAAAGATGCTCAAAGTTTTCCCAGGACGTTTGATCTTAGCATTAACTACTAACTGACTGTTGATTCACAGCGGACATCGAAAGCATGGAGTATTGACTTGGTTCAAAACACGGGGTTGAATTCATTTCGTCATAATGTCAGACCAACCATACCTGTCCTAGCGGTACAATCGAACAAGACCGGGTGTACTCCAGGGAAGTCTGTCTTTTCCTGACCCGAATTCCTAAAGTACGAAAGCCTTACGGTTGGGAAACCTGTTTACACACCACCGTCCAAGGTGGATGTAAACAATGCTATTAGTAATCCTCCCAACGCGACTGAATGCCAGGCCCACCAAATGGTTGGGACCAATCTTAAAGAGTTGGGAGTGATTATTCCGTTTCTCCGCCACAGTTTTGTAAAAATATTCATAGCGATGGTTCAACCTGGATATTTTTGTGCATAGCTTCATCGAGTTGCTACGGATATTGGGCGAGGGGTGCCACTGCAACACTTTCTCAAAGCCCAGTGCATGCTCAAGGCCACTTTGTATATTGAATATCAGGATAAGATCACCTCTTTGCTGCCTCTAACTTGGAGGGAATAAATTAAGGCTATTCCGCCTTCCTGTGTATAATTGGCTTTTAAAACCGTTCACCAGCTTTATTGCACGATGATGTACTCTTTCGAGGCACGTTTGGTCTTTTACTATCCATGACCGCCGCACATGTATGCCCTATTCTAGATGAGGCCGCACAAAGGTTCGTGAACTCGCCTAAAAAGGTCTTTCCCAATGACCACGAACGCCGTTTTGATCGCATGGATTACTCCCAAGGCATTTTTTGCACCCTTGGTGTACTACAGTGCTGGTTACATGTTGCTCTGCATCCAGTCACCGAGATCTTTCTGCGAGGATTCTGTGGGTAGTATTATGCCTTTCGGGTGATATGCCCTTGTTCTATCATTTGAAATACAGTTAACTGGTCGTAGATGAAGGACGGCACACTTCTGCACATTGAATCCAGAAGCCATTTCCCGGATGACGTTTGTAGTCGGTGTAGATTATCTTGAAGGGTTCTTCAGTTATCTTCATAGAATTCTTTCTAAGATTGCTGTGTAGCACACTCTACTAGGATTTCCATCGTCTTGCATGAGAGACGAGTCAAGTTGACAGGTCTGAAGTTGCTTGCTTTTATCCTGCTACCTCCCTTGCGTAACGGAAAGTGGTCTGCTGCCTTCCATTGCGAAGACAGCCTGCCTGTTCTCATTGACAGCTAAAAGAGAACTTAAAAATACTTTGTCAGCTCCTTTGATAGTTCTTTAAGTTATGGCCAAGGAATCCTGTGGCGTCCAGGAGACTTCTCTAGCCTAATTTGATCGGCAATTCGTCTTAATTTTTCAATGGAATGAACGATGGTTCCAGCCGAGGCAGTATTTTGGCGATCAAATTGAAACAGCAACTG